CCTGTTCCTTCCCCAGAGCTGCCCAGCTGTGCGCCTGTTCCTTCCCCAGGGCTGCCCAGCTGTGCACCTTGTACATTGTAACAATTCTTCACAATTCTCTTTTTATTACTGACTTAATCTGGTCATCATTTGTTGGTGATAAACGGTACTAGAGGTTTGTGGCATGAACTAGGTTGAAATCCTTCAGCTTAACAAGTCGTGAACAAAAATAACATCCAGGGCTTGGTCTGTGGAATCTTTTTCATTCTCTCAACCCATGAAATAACAAGGCTCAGCTCGGCAGCTGTAGTACAGTGGTTACGGCACCAGCCACATACACCAAGGGAGCTGGGTTCAAACTGGCCCAGGCCTCCTAAACGACAGTGACAACTGCAACAACAACAACAAAAAAATAGCTGGGCATTGCAGTGGGCGCCTGTGGTACCAGCTACCTGGAAGACTAAGGCAAGAGAATTGCCTAAGCCCAGGAGTTGGAGGTTGCCGTGAGCTGTGTGACACCACAGCACTCTACTAAGGGTGATAAAGTGAAACTCTGTCTCTCTTAAAAAAAAAAAAGAATTAATTCCAGGTGATACCAAAGACCTTATTTTAACCAAAAGTATAAAATAACCAAGAGGAAGGGCAATGTTTTATAATCCCAGGGTGAGAAACGAATTTCCAAGTAAGCTGCAAAACTCAAAAACCAAAAAGAAATTTGAAATCCTAAATGTCTGTGGAAAAAGATACCATAAGCAAAATTAAAAGGCAAGCAATGGCTGGGTTTTACAACCTGTAAAACAGATAACAGATTAAAATCTAAACTACCTAATGAAAATTTTCAAATTAATAAAGAAAAGACTGGCTCGGCACCTATGGCTCAAGTGGCTAAGGTGCCAGCTACATACACCTGAGGTGGTGGGTTCAAATTCAGCCCGAGCCCGCCAAACAACAATGATGGCTGCAACCAAAAAAAAAATAGCCAGGCGTTGTGGCAGGCGCCTGTGGTCCCAGCTACTTGGGAGGCAGAGGCAGGAAACTCTCTTGAGGCCAGGAGTTCAAGGCTGCAGTGAGGTATGATCTTGCCTGAGAAGACCCACTGCACTTCAGCTTGGCAAATGGAGTAAAACCCAGTCTCTGAAGTAGATAAAAATACAAGAATAAAGAAATGTTCAAAACAGGTTTCCATTTTTGACCATCCGTGTGATAAAACAGAAGGGATTAATGATACTCTGCGCTGGTGTTGAGGGGAAACAACTACTCAATGCTGGAGATAAATTATGCAGGGCAATTTGGGGGGGTCTGGAGTTTTCCATGGGCTTACTCTTCAGAATGGGCTTCCACAGGGCTCTGCCCTGCAGAAATACACAGGTAGGCTGTCAGTCACATCTGAGTTTATGGCCAGAGCTGCAGAAGTCCCTTTTTCAGGCCTGCCTCCATCAGAATCAAGATTAGAGAAGATTATTAATGGAACCTGGTGGGACTCCCTATAGCAGAAATCAAAGATCAACTTTTTCTTTGAAACAAATTCAGAATACAGAAAAATTATTAAAAATAATAGAGACCACCCAGATTCACCTGTCATTAATATTTCACCCCATTTGCTTATCACTTGTGCACCCTTAAATGCATACACACAGACACACGGACACAGACATGGTTTCTCTGAAACCTATGAGGGTAAGTTGCACACATCGTGGCTCTTGACCCCTAAATAATTTAGTGTGTATTTTCCAAAAATAGGGGTATTTTCATAACTCCAATATAGTTACAGTACCCACTTATTTAGTGTTGGTGCAGTGCTTAGCTTGCTGCTAGTATTCACACTGTGTCACTGGGCTGGACTGTCCTTGAGAGTGTTCTCCCTGCTGTTGCAGGGTCTGGTCTGGAGACAGGTATGCCTTTAGTTGCTATCTCTGTAGCTTCCTTCTGATCGGGAGCATCCTTTGTCCTTTACAACATAAACTTCTTTTTTTAATTTAAAGCATTGGGCTCCTCCTCTCGTTTTAATAGAATTTTGATTTGGGTCTTCTCTAATTTTTCCTTGTGGTTAGTTTCAGGCTGTGTGTACTAGGCTGGAACAGCACCTGGGTGAGGATATCTCTTGGACAGCACATCTGGGGACACACAGTGTCCATCTGCCCCGTAGTGGGGTGTTACCTTAATCTCCCAGTCCCCCCACTCGAAAGTTCTTACATTTTTCCTTCCTAGCCACTAATACATAGTCTGTGCGGGGACACTTTCACATCATGCAGATAACCTTATCGGAATTTCCCCGTTGGGTTTAGTATCTATTGATGAATTCTAAACTGATGGAGTTTTTACAATGACAACGTAGAGACCATAGTTTACCTTAGAGTTCACTCTTGGTGTTCAGATATTCTCTCAGATATTGTTTTGAAATAAGATGTCTTATGAAGAGACTTTTATGAAGCAAGAAGGGCAGTTTTGCTGCCGTAAGTTAGTAGAGTAACTCCCTGCAGTGTCATGAGAAATTGAGTACTCTCGCTTCAGGTTTTGAGTAAAGATACTATTCAGCTAAAGTAGAAATCAGAAAAATGATTTTATAATCTTCCTTCCCCAGAGACACTGAATGAGAAAGAATTGTTTTGCCAGTTCTGGGGACTGTACCTCTGGCTCAGGCAGGTGAGCTAAGCAGATGATGCCTCTCTAGTCCACAAGTGGCAGAAGAGAGGAGTCAAGTGAGGAAACGTCCCAGGGCTTCTGCATGGGGTCTCCTGCTCCTGGAGCTTCTCAGAAATGTAGTTGTTGATCTGGGACCAAAGTGGCTCCAAACTGGCCACTTTAGGAATCCTCCTTTGAGCAGAGATCTTGAGCCCAGAGCACAGCTTCTGGTGGGGACTCTGCCTGGGGGATGTGTCTTCCTTCAGGTAATCCCACCAGTCTCCTGGGAAAACCCTTAACAAGGGGATCTAGAAGGACCCCAAAGGTAGATAAAGCAGTGTAAGAGAGGAAGGCAAAACTGGGTGTCAGAGCTTGGAGGGAGGAAGGAGACCCCTCCGGCGGGAACCTGGCTGGGGCCTGAGAGGCAGCATGGGAGAGACATCAGTAACCTGGCCCCTCTGACCACATAGCGTCAGCCTTATGTTTAGCAGGGGGCCCAGCTAAGGCATTTATGTAGCTACCATTTTTAGTAGGTGGATGTCACAGGAGGCAGAGGCAGCTCCCCAGCAGGATGATGCAGGTGGGAGGTGATGGTGACCAAGGGAGGGCTTGACATAGCAGGAATGGAAAGGCCTATTTGGTGATATCAGGCAGCCCTGGGGACCTCGGACATGGAGTGGGAGCAGGAGGGAAGAGGTAAGCAGTCCAGCCGGCATATGTTTTTAGCCTGGTTGACAGCCTCAGGTATCTGAGAAGATGAGTCTGGAGTTAGAGGCAGCGTTTAGGGGTAGGCAGGCAAGAGAGTGCTTGGGAGTGAACTAGGAGAAGTCTGGAAAGATGATATTAGAGTAGAACTGTTTGCTAAGAAAAAGAAAAGGGAGGAGGGAAAGACGTAGCGTGTGTGAAGAACCTTAAAACAGAAGAGGGATACTTAGAGCCAGGGTGCTGGCTGCAGGGGTCATTTTCCTGTTTGGCAGAGAAAGTTTCAAGAGCAAGTAAGAAGATCACAGAGAACCCTCACTTTTTTTTTTAATTGAATGGTAACTGTGTACATTAATCCACTTCTGGGGTACAGTGTGATTTTTTTCACACACAATCCGAAACACTTCCATCAAACTGGTTAACATAGCCTTCATGTCACTTTCTTAGTTATTGTGTTGAAATGTTCATACTCCACTCTTAGATTCACTTGTACCCTTGTGAGATAAATCACAGAAGTGATCCCTCCAATTCCCCTCCCTCCACCCATTAGAACCCTCACTTCTTACTCCTTTCACCCCTTGCAAAATAATGACTTGTAGGCAGCGTGGGGACCTAGTAAACATGGGAGCCTCTTGTGTGAGGGATTCTTTGTAAATTGCTCACTGCAGACCATAGGAACACCCAGTAGCACATCTTCCAATTTATTTAATACCTGCAAAGCCTTGGAACAGTGCCTGGGACATTACTACAGTGGGGAAGTAAGGCTGTCTGGGAAGAATAAGGGCTATTTGTCCCTAGAAAAGAATCGGATAGTATGGATCTGATGAGGTGCTGTGGAGGCCAGCCCCAGCCTTTCATCATCAAAGTCTGTGAAGTGCTCTGGCCAACATGCTAGAATGGGCTGGTGTGCAATTCTGGGGAGTTTCTTATAGCTGTTATTTTTGAGACACTCTCACTTTGTTGCCCTGGGTAGAGTGCTATGGCATCACAGCTCACAGCAACCTCCAACTCTTGTGCTTAAGTGATTCTCTTGCCTCAGCCTTCCAAGTATCTGGGACTATAGGCACTCACCACAATGCCCAGCTATTTTTTGGTTGTAGTTGTCATTGTTGTTTGGCAGGCCCAGGCTGGATTCAAACCCACCAGCTCCAGTGTATGTGGCTGGTGCCCTAGCTGCTGAGCTATAGGTGCCAAGCCAGCTGTCTGTTTTTGTTGACCTCTGCTGTTTCCCCCAAAGTATTTATCAGCAAAATCCTTAAACAAATGGAGGCCTCATGTGCTTATCTTGGGCAGCAGCAGGGAGATGGGGTATTATAGCCACACTCTGCAGTGGCCTGAAGAAAATGCAGCCTGCTCCCCTGAAGCAGGAGCTGAGGGGCCAGCAGCAGAAAGGCCCCTCTCTGAGTTCAGCTGGCACGGTTCCCTGGAGAGGTTAAGGAGCCGCACTGAGGATGAGACCTAGGGAAGGATTACTACACCTGGCACTGAGAGGGTCATCAGGGACTTTGGGACATAAAAATACTTTCTCCTGAAGTACAGTGCAGAAATACACACTGTTGCAGATAAAGATGCTTAAAACACTTCTCATTCCTGTGCAATAATTGTTACCATAGAAAATTATGAGCCCGGTGTTGATAGCGCCTGGGGAAGCTGTGGTTACATGCACATAACCATGTCATTTCTCTTCTTTGAGTCTTCTCTGACGAGTCTAATGATTTGGGGCTTCCATGAGGCAGGGAGCATTGGTGTAGTTCTTTGTGTACCAGGAAATCATACTTTGGGCCACCAGGGCCCATCTCAGTGCATGGGCTTTGTCATTTTCCCATCCAGGATCTTCAGAAAGTGAGTGAATTGTGGGAAAGTGTGGTACCATGATGTTGTTCATACTGGGATGGAGGATGTTATTCTGGTAAAGAAAATCTGTCATAGGTCAGCAGTGAGTGCAGAACAGACTTAGTACGTGGTGTGTGTGTGGGTGTCCCTCTGTCCCATCAGGTAGAGGGGTCTTGGGGAAGACGGCAAAGGCATGTTACCTCGGGTTGTGAGAACAGCAGTCATCCTAAAGAGGTCCCCTCCTGTCTGCACACAGGTCGGGGCCCTTCGAAGTGCGAGCAGAGCTTGAGGAGTCCATGGAATTTGTGGATCCCGGAGCTGCTGGAGAGTCTGATGAGAGTGGAGATGAGCACATAAGTGATGAGGAAACAGACCTGGGCACTGACTGGGAGAACCTGCCAAGCCCCCGGTTCTGTGATATTCCTTCCCAGCCCGTGGAAGTCTCCCAGAGCCAGAGCAGCCAGGCCTGTCCGCCCATTGTGAGCAGCAGTGCAGGGGGGATGATCTCATCCGCGGCAGCCTCTGTGACCTCCTGGTTCAAAGCTTACACTGGACACCGCTAACAGGCATAGACCAAAACATGCTAGATTTGGATTGAGAAGGTTTCTAGAAAACCATGTTAAGATAGTGCCTGGAACAAAAAAAGCTTAACCTGTTCTGGGATTTTCTTAAGCAGGGAGACAAACATTTCTATTTGTCAAGTGGCCTGTGATAGTGACCAACGTGCTTATGATAATTAATAGAACAGAGGGGTCAAAAGTCCTTCTGCCCAAACCGAAGTTGGTGAAAGGACCTGAGCATGTGGCCAGTTCTGCTGAGGAAGAAATCCATTTGGGTTCCCTCTGGCCCCAGGCCACAGGGCCCCCATACACGGGTCAGTGTGGTATTGGTCCTTGTGATGCTGACACTATTCCTGACACTTGAACTTTTAAAGGTTGGTTGAATCACAAATGATTCTTGATGATCAGGACTTAAAAACTCTGTAACATGAGTTTTTCTTTTACTGTTTTTTTGTACAGAGGATTTCTTTACTGTTTGGTCATCTTTGGTTTTTAGAGTAAGAATTTTGGTTTTGTTTGGGAGGGGTGGCCTTTTCTGGGGCGGGGGTAGCTTCAAACATGTTTCATTCCTGCTGCTGTCGTAGCTCCCAGGATGTTCCCGTGTTCCTTTCCCCACACACGCCAAAGAAAACTAAGGTCTTTTTTTCTGTAGGACCTACATCCGTTAGTTGAAGAAATTCTGGCTGCAATAATGTTCTAAGAGATTTTACAACTATTTTCTTGTATTCTGAATTAAATTTTTCATTCTCACTGAAGTTATTTAATCCCTACCATCTACTATGTGCATTTTGAAATTGAATTTATTTAATCTGAGTGAAGATGAGTCATTAAGGTCATTTCCCTTATGTAAGCTAAATGCCTGCTTGGGCACAGGTGAAAGCCGCTTAATTAAGAGCAGCCTTGGGTCATTCTTACAATGTCCAGTTTCTTTCTAAGGGATTTAGGTGGCAGGTGTTTGCAGGGAAAGCCACCATCCTGCTTATTTCCTGGAGATCTGTGTTGCTCAGAAGTGGAGAGCTGATCATGCTCTTCTGTAGCCCGGATAAAGTTCAGATGTGAAGAATTTCCCCTCACCAAGAGATCGTTTTCAGCTAATGTGTCTTATCATTCTTAGTGACAATCTTACAAGAAAACCATAATGAGGGGCATTAATATGTACAAATATGTAAGTAGTTTTTTATTTTTAGTAACGGCAAAATATCAGGCACTATGACCCTATCTTCTTGGTGTGATTGGCATGATAGGACCTCAGATACATCCTTCAGAAGTTTGCCATGCCCCTGCAACTTTCTCACATAACTGTTAGAGCTGATATTTGCCTACAAGTCCAAGGTGCTCTATGGCTTTTGCTTATCGGTATATTTGGTGTTTAATACAGTTTTGGGTAGAGCTGCAGAAGTGGAAAATTTATTCCTGTCCATGAGTTCCTGCTCTATGAATTTTCCACTTGGAGGAAACAGGCTTTCCTCCTTGTGGTTTCTTATGCAGCTGATGTCTTTTTTAAATGCTCAGCTTCATGATTGCTGGGCTTGGATCTTACTGCCTAGCTCTGCAGTTCATAGAGAGCAGATACAGTAGACTTGAACAAATACCAAATAAACGTAATCTGTGGGATGGGCTGTCCAGGTATAATACTTTAGACCCTCAGAAGAGCTTAGTTGCAAGAATTGGCATCTTGGGGGTAGAGTGGCTTCTGCTGAGAGACGCATAGTTGTCATGGTTTTCTCAAGCAAGCCTCTTATAACACCATGAATGCTAGATGAAACTATAGAAATCAGGGATCACTAACTCCCACTGAGAGTAATTCAACAAAACTTACAAGGATATAGAAACCTAGGGATTGATATGGGCATTTTGTTAATATCAACTGGAAGGCACTTTTACATAGGATCAAGTGATCAAACCAACCTTTTTGTGGCTTTGAACGTCAGCATACTAGCTTATACTGCTGAATTAGTTTGGGTTTATTTTGCACTGAATCCACTCTGTAAATATTCTTAAATATACTTTTCAACCACTGTTTTTTCTAATCTCTTTGCTGCTCATTTAAATTTTTCATGTAGGTGCCAGAATCATATGTAAACAGCTTTTTAAAAAATGGAAGCTGGTTTTTTTTTTTAAACAAAAAGCCATAGAACTTGGTCATGTATTCTGTTTTAAAATGATTTACTGAAAAAATGTAATACTAAATAAAAACCCACCCAAATAGGTTGCTTAAGATGATCTGTTGAAGACTTTTTTTTTTTTTTTTGGTAACAATGTAACTAAGGTTTACATATCTGTAAGTTAGGTGGGAAAAACGGTATGTCTTCACATTGGGTACAGTGGACAGATTCCTTAAGGACTCACCGGGGGACAGAGCTGATCAAAGAGCTAGTGTCTGAGGACCTCCTCACACTGTCACAGTCAGGACACTTTGCTCTGCAACTTCCAAACCAGTTTGAGTCAAAGGTTTCCTAAACTTCATTGTATTTACTACAATAAATCCTTTAACAGTACTTGGCTTATATATATATGTCTTTTTCAAAATGATTTTTCATTTCTGCTCCTACAATGAGAGTAGCAAGAATGAGATATAATCCTGAAATATTCTATACAGAGAATACTTTAAGAAATTTTATTTCAGATTAATATGCGGGTACAAATGATTTTGCAAACAAATGTTTGCATTTGTTAGGTAAAGTCCCTGTTGTAGCTGTGCCCCTCACCCAGGAGAAGTGCCACATACATTTACATTGTGCCCATTAGGTGGGAGTTCACCAATCTCCTACCCCTGCCAACTCGAATTGACTTTTTCTCTTGTGTGGGCGTATTAGCTCATCTACTGGCTTCTTATTAGAACTGAGCACACTGGACACTTGCTTCTCCATTCTTGAGACACTTTCCTTAAGGAGACTGTTCTCCAACTCCATCCCTGTCAATACAAAAAGTAGTAAAGTCTCCATTTAGAAATTTTCTTACTGAGAAAAAAAAATGCCTGAAATACATTTCCTTTTCCCCCAGTTTTTGCCCACTTGAACCCACCACCTCCAGTATATGGGGCTGGCACGCTACTCCTTTGAGTCACAGGCGCTGCCCCTGAAATACATTTTTTAAAGTTATAGGTCATGGTGGTACTAATTATGGTCTGTCCTTGGTAAGCCTGGAGATGCTGCTCACTTTCTGTAGAGATGCATTCACCTTTGGGCGCCATGGTGTGAAGCATATGACCTAAGGCAGGCGTCCTCAAACTGGACAGCCCCTCCGTCTGCAGACAGCCCCTGTCTAATAGCAGGCCCGCCGATGACATTCATCCGGCCCGCCGGGTGTTTTTGCCGCTGCCTGTCCTGCTTAGCAGCCGACTCGTCCTGGGGCCCACGGTCTGGCCCTCCAACAGTCTGAGGGATGGTGAACTGGCCCCCTGTTTAAAAAGTTTTGAGGACCCTTGACCTATAGTAACTTGTTTCTTGCACAGACCTGTGGGGAAGGGTATGCCTGTGTAGGAAAGCTGTGTGGAAACTGCCCAGACGTCGAGACAAGAGAGAAATGGAAACATTAAGTCCTGCTGTTAGACAGGGGCCGCCTGCTGCAGACAGAGGGGCTGTCCAGAGCAACAGCTGTGAAAGGGCCAAGACAGCCTGAAGAGGTGTCCAGGAGCTACTGCCACAGCTACACTTCCCCAGAGCAAAAGCCTTCAGCCAGTTTGGAGTGAATACACAGGGTATTACCCAGCTGTGTGTAGCCACAATGTTTGCTCTTCCCATGAGGTTGTGCAAACATTAGCTATGGCCATGGACTTTGGAATGGCCTGCATGTCAGTTGAAGGGACTTCACAACTTCCCACACAGGTGCTTTCACCAAACTCAACGAAAATAATTTTATGGTTGGGGGTCACCACAACATGAGGAACTGTATTGAAGGGTCACAGCATTAGGAAGGTTGAGAACCACACTGCTCAACACACTAAGCAGCACTCAGAGTCCTTTGTGTGTACTCTCGCCTGACTACACTGTGAGCCACAACAGGCCTACTGAGAAGGCCCCACTGAGACTGCCAGGTTGCAGGTGTCTTCAAACTATGGCCCATGGGCCACATGCAGCCCACCTGGGACATTTATCTGGCCTGCCGGGTGTTTTGCCGCTGCTGCCTGTCCTGCTTAGTAGCCGACTCGTCCCAGGGCCCGCAGTCCAGCCCTCCAACAGTCTGAGGGACAGAAAACTGGCCCCCTATTTAAAAAGTTTGAGAACCCCTGGTAGAACAATTCAAAGGATAATCTAACAAGCACAGGGAAGTGCAGCCCAGGGCACTTTAAAAGCATTTTCCAATATAACTTACCTGGGTTAAGTCATGAGGAAAAACACCATCTCTCAAAAGAAAAGTGAGCTCTTCTCAGCCTCCTTTTGGTCCTGTGTCACAGACACTCAGCCAAGCATGTCAGCCAAGCACAGCAGCTCCCACTAGAACATTTACTATCTGTTCTCTGTAAGCCTGAAGCTTACACTGGTTCAAGGTTTTTGGTGGGTACTCAATTTCAAGCCAACTTAGTTTTTAGGACTTCTACCCACAGTAGTTGTGGCCCAAAACCTTACAGCCAACGAAGCATTACATGACCATGGGCCTCAATAGCTCTTTAATGATTTTTAAGTGATTGATTATACCTGGACAAGTCCTAAGAATACCCTCGATAACACCACCACACTCAACAGGAAACAAGAGGGCAGACAGACAAACCCTTCAAGTGTTGGAGGGTTGCAAAAATTGAAACTTAGGATGTTAAGTAAAAACAGAAATCATTTCCTCTCTTCCACTGCAACAATTAAAAAAAATTTTAATTCTCACAACACAAGAACCTTTTTCAATACTATATCACAAGAGAAGGAAAAAAGTCTTTGTAAAATTCAGATCCCGCTTAAGATGTATGTTTTTATTGAGATTTTAAAAAACTAACAGAAAGGATAAAGTAGACAAGAATGTTATAATCTGACTATATAATATTCTCTCAATCTTGGTGGATCACTAAAATATAAGAAAAGGTTGTTCTCTATGTTAATTTTCAGGTTGTCCAGTTAAGCCATTATTTGGTATCCTTTGAACAGGTTAGCCTTTTAACTATTTATAGAGTTTCTTCTCAGAAACATTCATATATTATACAGGAAACATTCAGTTTATTTAGGAAACATACAGAATGTACAACTTTGAAACTAGACGATCAAAAAACACTCGTGATAGCCACAGCACTCTCCTAGCTGCCCTGTGACAGTGCTGCTCAGTCAGCGTCCCTCATACACAACTGTATTTTAATCATATTTACAGAGAGAGGGCCTGCAGCAGGCATTTAAAGGTGAAGGTGCTTAGGTTTAATATGCACTTCACAACCCTGTGAATCCACCCCAACCACAAACATCTGTCTCACAGGGTCACACATACAAGGCCTAAAGTGACATGCCCGACTTTTCCTTTTTAAGAATACCTTTCATCTGAGAGTCCTGCTATTCTTTTCATGGGACACTATTCACTTATTTCAGATACGGTGCCCCAGTGCTCAAAACACTGCCAGAACCTTTCCTTGAGGACTGCCTGCAGTCTGCAGTGAGCTCTTCTAAATGTCCTTGATGGTGGCACACCTTCATCCTTTGGGGAGGGATCTGACTCAGGAAAACAGCAGAGACACTACTATGGATCAAATGAGAGATGCCATTAGAAAAAATGAGACCAATTTTCCTGTATAGCTCATAAATTAAGAGTTTTAAAGATGCCTGAGCAATGGCGGTGCTGATAGTTACAGATTCTCCTGCAGTGGTAACTAAATTTAGAGAGGCAATGCTCGCTTGAACAGTGTTTCGTGGTTTTTAAAAATAGGTCCTTTTGTTGCCTCACGTGGATATTATTCCTCTTCAGTTTCAGTCCCTTTTGATTTCTTGTGGATTTCCCGGTTAAAGCTGTGGCAGGCAGGAACCCAGCGATTGTCGTGAAGTCCCAGCTGACAGCCAGGGAAGGCTTTCTGAGAGCGATGGCAGCACATCCAGTACCCTGGCCCATAGGGAAATGCCTGGCAATAGGGCTTGGGGTGCCACCGGCATAGGGACACATCCCCTCTCACATACTTTTTCTTGCATTGTTTGCAAGGATCCTCTCGATAGCGTGGATCTCGAACCCAGCGAGAATCTGATGGCCTAATATTGTAGTGTTCAATAATAAACTTGAAATAGTAGCAGGTACATTTAAGAGCCACTAAACTCTTAGTGGGAAGCAACCTGAAGATTTTTACCATAATGTGGTGGGGCAGAAAAACCATGTACTGCTGAGGCTCCAGAAGCTGCTGGATTTTAAACCTGGTCTCCAGAAAATCATGAGACACCTGCTTTTTCCAACTGGATGCCTCAAGTACTGGTGAGGCACTTTCCACAGAGGAGGGTGGTGGCACAAGTGGCTCAGATGTGCTGTCACTCACAGCAAGCTGGCTGGACTCTGAAGCCACTTTCCTTGTACTTTCACTCAACTGGGAACAGTCTGAGTGCTGACCAGGTGGCAAAAAAAACAACATTCCTGGAAGTGGGTCTTCACAGGCGTCTAAACTAGAAGGCTGGTCTTTCTCCACCTTGGACATGGGGATACCAACGCACAGAGAGACTTTTCTTCTCTGATCAAGACTTGGGCTGGTTAGTGGCACAAGCGCTCTGTTCATACAGTCAACAGCATCTGTGGGCAATTCCGCGGCTTGGGGACAGACGTGAGAAGGAAAAGGTAACCTAACAAGTTCATCTGTCATTTCCACATCAGTCCTGTTGCTATTTTTCATGGTAATTTGCAGACTGGGCTCTAATTCTGTATCATCCATGTGGAAACTCACACCTGCCCGCAACGAGAGATGGCCCTGAGAAGTACCATCCCAGGTCTTGTCCCCGTTGGGAGAATGGCCAGCTCCTGAGGGGACACAGGCTACAGATGCAGACCCTGTGGGGTCCACCTGAGTGGCAGGTGCCTCCACGGCACCTTTTCCTGTTTTTCCTTCATCAGCTTGGGTGCTATTTGAAAGCAACACCCCGCCAGCACTCCGATGGAAGCTGTTATTCCTCGAGAGGCTCCCAAGTTCATGCTGGCTCTGTTGCCTTAGGCACTCAGACTCCAGCCTGGCTACTATGTCTAGGACACGGACTGGCTCACTCTGTGGTTCACCAACTTCAGGGTTTCCCCTTTCTATGGGTTCACATGCTCCTGGGGCAGAGAAATGCTCAGAGGCTGGGGGTGCTCCTCTGGATTGGCCAGGAAACCTCACAACAGCAGGGGAGTTTGTGCAGTTTTTCGCACAACTAGCTAAGAGAGCACTAGCTCTTTGCTCAAGGAAGGCGACCATCTGTATAACTGACAGAGGCCTCCCAGTGTAGACGCCATCCCCACTGTCACTCACGTAATGCACAGAACAGTGCTTAATGCCACACGCAAAAGGCTCAGGCTGGTGGCACCTGCTGCTGACTTCTCGCATGCTTTCTAGCTGTAGCTTGGCTTTTATAAGATCCCCTGATTTTTTCCTTCTTTTAGTAGCTCTCCCATCAATATCCCAGGAGCTTTTTATTTTCATAGATCCTGTCCTAGTATTACACTGGTGGGCTGCAAAGAATGCAATTTTCTCCTTGGTATTTCCAGGTTTCACAACAGCCCAGATATCAAGTGCTCCTTCTTCACCCTGGTGGATGGTTGTAGATGGCACATTCTTTCTGGTCTTAATGTTCAGGCTACTTTCTACAGGATTCTTCCCACTCATACTGCACAGAACATCTGGAGAAAGGATCCCAAGAGGCTTCTGAGATGGTGCTTTACCAAGAGAGACAAGTGGTTTCATGAGGCTTGCTTTCCATTTCTCATCACTTAAAGCCTTTTGGTGGCTCATAGGCAGCCTCAGTGTTCTCCTGTTGACCTCCAGAGGGCGCTCTCTCTTCTGGTGTCTCCAATACAGTTTCAGGTGCATAACAGGGGCCCTGCAGGGAAGAAATGTACGGTATTTGATTATGAAACCAATTTTGTCTTTAGAAACTTCTTTTTTTTAACTCTGAACGTTCTAGCAAGTAAGAAAAACATTTTCTATCAGTTCAATAAACCATTACCAAACTCGTTGTTTGGTAATCTGTACTCGATGTACAGATCAAGAATAACAAAAGCAAATTAACCACTTTCCATGGGGTATAGGCCAGAAAATAAACTGGCTTTGACTGATGAATTTTAGAAGCTGTCATCAATTAATATTTTAAACAGATAATCCTTTAATTTAAAAAGAAAATCTGAACGTACTGAAATGAAAACATCTCTTTTTATCAGTGAGGATAAAGCGTAGTATAAAAGGAACGCCTCCATAATCCCTAGCAGGTTTTTTTAACATTAGTTCTTTCTAAGTTATCACAACTAGCATTTTATTAGTTACAAAAAAGCCTGTTGAAATAACTATACTTGCTTTCTAAACCATTCCCATATTTAGATGCTTACAGTTTTTACTTGTTGTTTTCGTACTTTGTCCATGTCCATCTAGTATAGTCTTAATTTTTCTAAGTAATCTAAGTGTATAAACATTTAACTGTCAAATTCTCTGCTACCATCTTTTTACTCCCCACCACCTCCTGCTACTATCTTAACCAAGATGTTGGTTAGGTATGAAAGACACCTGTAGGCACTGTTCATTTTGCAAACAAAAACTTGATAACAGACAACAACACACTTCACTGTCATGTTAGTTAAGTCTGTAAGCATCATAAGCTTTGTTCTTGATATTTTTCACAGCTGTCAAGTTACACAAGTTTGGGGGGGGGGGACATTTTTCATGGTTAAGCCTGAAATAACTGAAACCAACTTGGATGAATTAACCCTTAATAATTCTAAAAACCACTTAGAACTAGTTTAGAAAAATAGTGCCTTCTTTTGTTCCCTGGCCAGGGGTGGAGATGGAAGCCATTTCAGAAATGAGACATGATGATTAACAGAGACCTGTGTTCTAGTCCCTGCCATAACAATTGATTAGCTAGATGGTGATTTTTAGATTAGACAATCACCATCAATTTACATAAAATAGCACACTGTGTAAATTAGATGACTGTCTAAGCATTAGATTATCTAGTATTTCAACCCTCAGTTAACATTTCAACTCACACCTAGAGAATAAGTGACTTGATAAAGCTAAAATCACACACAATATCCTGGATTAAAGAAAGAGTGTTTTTAGGGGTGCCTGATCAGCAAAGTAAATCTAGAGTCCAAAAGAAAGAGCTGCGATCACAAGTTGGGAGAAGGGAGGCAAAAGCACCTTACTGTCTAAGCCTGCAGCGTCTTGCTCACTGGGATAACAGGCTAAGATGTGCCTTGGACAGCTTAGCATATTCCTTCTCATCAGCTCCACATTTACTGAGTACCTACAATATGGCAGCTTCTATGGGATCTGCTCAGATGTGAGGAGGGGTTTTTGGTATGGAAGAATTTTTTTTGAGACAGAATCTTACTTGGTGGCCCTGGGTAGAGTGCCGTGTCCTTACCGTAGCTCACAGCAACCTCAAACTCCTGGGTTTAATTGATCCTCCTGCCTCATCTTGAGAAGCAGGGACTACAAGTGACTACCATAATGCCTGGCTACTTTTTTTTTTTTTAATTTTTCTATTTTTAATAGAGGGGTCTCCTCTTGCTCAGGCTGGTCTTCCAACTTCTGAGCTCAAGCGATTCACCCACCTTGGCCTCCCCAAGTGCTGGAATTATAGGTATGAACCACCGTGCCTGGCCCACATTGTAGCATTTTAAATTGCTCTTTCTATCATTATACTCTACAAAATTTAGTCTTACACAAAGAGCCACCCAGAATTCTTCAAGAACAAGAAAACATATAAATGAATAAAAGAGGCACATCTACTGCCATTTCTCTGCACCAAATATTTTCTAGGTTTTCATATCCCTTTCAATCCTTCTCCTAAATAAAATCAAAGAAATAGTTTATTTAAAAAATAAATCCTCACATAATGACTCACTGCAGAGTGTGAGCTTAAACTTGAGCTCTGTGTGTGTGTGTCACTTTGCAATGCACACTGTGGTCTCTTGAACTTTCTACCCTACACACTAGTTTAGGTACTCTTGTTGAGAGGGACATTAACCTATAAAGTCTGCTCAACTGACACAGTACTTACATACAAGGTTTTTCGGAAGATTATCTCAGGGACTAGATGTGAGGAAAAGATATGACAGGGAAGGGAAAAGCCCAAGGGGGACACATAGTGAAGGTACCTCTAGGAGGTAGGCAACCCCCCGCCCTTGGTTGAAGGTTTCCTGGGGCTAATCTCTACCCCTCCCTTGTTCAGTCTGAAAGCCCTAAGGCAGAAAATAGAAAAGTGTTGGCCAGATTTAGAGAAACTGCAAAAGTCCGACTTTTAATTGAAATCAGTTAGAGGACATGATGCAGGGAACTAAGAACACATGCTGCAAATCCATACAATTAAAACTCTAAATCTCCAACAGAACACACCAAGTGGTGCACTTTCCCCATCCCAGCAACCCCCACACACAGAGACAGAAATGGTTTCCATGGTGCCAATCTCTTCATCACAATTGCATTTTGAGAGTTTGCTATAATACGATCCCACTCTCTTGCAATGAAATGAAATGCAGCTCTATTAGCACCTACACATCTTAAGAGTCTCAGAAGGGCCTCTGTTAGAAAAATTAAGACTGCAGGGTCTACTAAATCAGAATTCTGGAACTGGGCCCAGAATCTGTTTTTAACTTTAGATTGGAATTTGAAGATGGAGTTTGAAAGGACTTAGAGGTCATGTGTTTGATCCAATGTCAAGAGTGTCAGGGGCTCTAGATCTGGGCTGAGGTACTAGGCCACCACTAGGTGGAACCATGACCACAGTACCAGGTAGGGAAGGTCCAGTCACATGATTAAGATTTTTAAGGTAGCCAAAACTAGCATTAATAGCCTCTAATTTTTTTTTTCCTACTAACCTATTCCCTACAAATGTGCACTTCCTTCTACACATTTGTTACCTTAAACTTACACTCTGGGCTGGACACTACTGGTGCAGCTATGAATAAGAATAAAGAGACAGAAAAGTAGGCAAGTACAGCAGAATGAGACCCAGGTCAGGACAGCACAGGGTGCTGAGGGTCCATGGAGAGAGTTGGAGGAGAGATGGAAGACGTGTGGGTCAAGTGGGGAGAAGACCCCACTCCAGTGGAGAGCCATCAGCACCACACCCAGACTTGAGGGTGTAGGAACAGGTCAGGGAAGCCCTGATTTTCTAAATTAAGCCTTTAAGTCCTCAGATTCTAAAGCAGATGATGCTTTGGGAAAATTCAGATAGTTGAAAAACAGAATCTGAACTAAGATGGTTAAGAATAGAGAGATGATAAGTAAATGAATAAATGAGAATAACAAACAAGATTCTAACCACTGATTAAAAAATGGAGGATGATGGAGAGAAGTCAAGGACTGACCCTCATCTCACGGCTTCACCAATTCGCAAAGGTGCCTGAGCACATCCACAGCAGGGGTGGCACAGTTGTTCAGCCAAGACATGTTGGGCTCAAGTGTTTACAAGACAGAAATAGCCACAGTCCAGCTGGCTCAGATCTGATCAAGAGAAAAGGAAGCCACCAGTTGTCACAGAAACAATTCAATGAGGAAAAGGTTTTCTGGATTACAAGTCTTTTTTCAAGATTTTCCACAATAAACATGTATTACTTTTATATTCACAAAGAATACACACACCAGGAGCAGTCACTGCAGACTCTGCAGCAAAGTCAAAAAAGAAGTGCAGTTAGCACTAGTGACCCTTGGTGACCTTGTTGAGAGGAACCGCAACAGATGAGAAGGCATGGTGCCCGTGGAGGGTGACTGGAGAGGGAAAGAGTGTGCTGACCATGGCCTCTCTCACTGCACTTAGCTGTGAAGGAAACTGTTCATACACACCTGTTACCTAAATCCTTTCTGGTAATTCCATGAGATATAACTCAGTAAGCGTAACCTAAGAAACTTTACTCTAGGCTTGGTGCCCATAGCACAGTGGTTATGGCACCAGCCACATACACTGAAGGTGGAGGGTTCAAACCTGGCCCGGGCCAGCTAAACAACTGCAACAAAAAACAGCCAGGCATTGTGGTAAGCACCTGTAGTCCCAGCTACTTGGGAGGCTGAAGCAAGAGAATCGTTTAAGCCCAAGAGTTTGAGGTTGCTGTGAGCTGTGATGCCACGGCACTATACCATGTACATAGTGAAACTCTGTCTCAAGGAAAAAAAAAAAAAAAGAAACTTTACTCCAGTGAAGGCCAGAGTCTTGCTTTCCATGAGTCAGCGTTTCTTTTAGACTCATCATGTCGAATTTGCCAAAGCTGGCAAAACTCTCACCTAAAGTTGGTGTACAATTCCAAAACAAAGCCATGAAAGATACCTGAACTGTGCGCTATTAAAAAAAAGCGCACAGATAAGCCTAAAGAGTCACACTACCTCTTGTCAACAGAGGAGCAGTTAACTGGCCATGCCTGGCTAGAACAGGAGAAAGGATATGATTTCTCATGGTGCTAATGGGAAGCCATAACATGAAAGGCAGATGCCAGGTGTCCTTTCTTGTTATTCTCCAGTCCTGCCTATCAAAACAAGTTAGAAGATAAGGCATTTCCTATTACTACTTCAGTTAAAGACAGGAACACTAATTCCAAAAAAAAGTCATTTTTAATATATAACCGCCATTATTTATAAAAATCAGAGGAATAAGGATAGTATATGAAGGACCCTTCCCCACTATACCTTCAGAAGAAAAAAAACTATACAGTAAATAAATTCATTATTTGCTTCTTAAAGAAAACGGAAAAGTTTCCAGAAACCATCTTTTTTTTTTTTTTTTTTTTTTTGAGACAGTCTCACATTTTTTGCCTTTGGCAGAGTACCATGATGTCATAAGCCTCAAATTCTTGGCCTCAAGAAATTCTCTTGCCTCAGCCTCCCAAGTTG